AAACCTGACCACCTTTCTTTCAGCCAGGGCCCGCCACCTTACTTATCTTCTCTGTGTTGTCTCCTTTCCCCCTTCAGCTCATGTGTTCATTCACGTATGGAGGAGCACAGTCTGACTGGAGTCCTGCAACCTGAGTGACAGCCACCGAACCTCTCAGCCTTTTTTTTTCCTTCTTACTTTTCTTATGTTAGCACTCATTTGATTAGCAATATACTAATCAAATTTATGATTTTTTTCTAAATTCCTATATTTGTCTTCTTATTACATATAAGCTACCTGAGACCAGTTTTTGTTTGTTTCATTGATGTGTCCTAAATGAATACAATCGTGTGTAATATGTTTCAGATAGTCAATGAATATTTGGGAGATGAGCACATTCTTACTGTTATGTTTTAGTTATTGTTTAAAAATTTTTTATTTACAATTGTGATAAATTTTTAATAATTATCTACAGTAATCAACTTTCACATGTACAAGGCTTCATGCATAATAGGAAAAACACTACCACTGAGCTACATACCCTATATTTTTTTGGTACTGGAGATTGAACTCATGACCTTGTGCTTGTCAGGCAGGCACTTGTGTCTACTAAATTAAATCTCCAGCCCTATTTCTAAATTTTGGTACAGGTTTTTTTGTTGTTGCTGCTGCTATTGTTGTTTTTTGTACCAGGGATTGAACTCAGGACCTCACACTTGCCAGGCATAGACAAGAGGTTTTCTTTACCCAGCTAAAATCTGAATTTGCAATTGGGGCTCCTGCCTCAGCCTCTGGAGTAACTGGGATTCTAGTACCACCATCCCTGGCTTATTTTTGATAACCATGGATGTGTTGTAAATTTTATATTGATATTTATGATTTCAAAAATTTTGAGTATCACATAACCTTTTATTAAGTCAGAGTAGTGTGTGAAGGGAAATAGCCAGGGTAGAGGGCGGGCAGGGAGAGAGAGCGGTGTGGGAGGTGGAGAGCTGGCGTGGGGGACAGGGGAGGACAGGCGCATGGGTGGATGTGTGAGCCCTTAGCTGTGGACGGGGGTTAAGGAGACCTAGCTTTGGTGAAAAATATGGTGAACCCAAGCAGCTGGACTCTGGCAGGGAGTGGTGGCTACAGGAAAGAACAGTGAATGAGCTCATCTTCAGGTCCCTCCACTCACCCCTGCTTTAGAGATAAAGCTGTGCCCTCAGCACTGGAGATGCAGTGCTGGCAGCTGAGCACCGTCTGTCACCATGTTGAGCTGGATCCCTCTCCGTGGTGTCCCCTCAGAGGATCCTGGTTGTTCCTGGAGAGTGGTGACCTGTGACACCTGCACTGCTCCCATGAACATACAAAGGAGTCCGCGGTGCCGCCTTTGTATGAACCACAGTGGAGGCTGAGGGAGAGGGGCCGAGTCAGGATATGCAATTCCATGGGGCTGTGCCATTGTTACCACTGTGGGGCTTTGGCTCCACATCCTCACCTTGACTGTTGGTCACCATTTCCTCTTCTTCAGATGCCTTTCACCCCTCTACCAGCATTTCTTAATTATTAATTTCATGCATCACTTAAGGGAATTTCTTCTCCTGTTGTTTCCCGCCTCAGTACAAATGAATCATCTCTCTGTAAGCATTGGTGGTTCCACAGATGTATCTGTAAATTTAGTACTTAAGTTTGCTTAAAAGAGTTTATGGTCTAAACTTTTCTTTTCTTTTTATTGTATTTATTTATTTGAGACAAGGTCTTTCTTTGTAGTTCAGGGTGGTCTTGAACTCACGATGATCCTCTGATTCTGCCTTCTGAGTGTGGGATTACAGGTGTGCTGCATCATTCCAGGCAAGTTCATGGCCAAAGTTGGATGCTGTCTAACACAGTAGTCATTTGTAGCAACTTTGCTTTTAACTAGAGTCCAATTATATGTAAAACATTTAAAATCTCCTCAGCTGAGCTCACCCAAACGTAAAAGGCTGTATAGTCCCAATCGCTCCTGGCTGCTGTGCTGCATAGTGCTCACATAGAAGGACTCGGAATCCACTGGACAGCGCTGGACAGAAGGGAGGAGACAGAAACTACAGTCTCACACACACACGCACACATAGAGTAGCAAGGGAAGGAAGGGAAGGCGTGCTATTAGAGAACTGAGACAGGGTAATTATAGAGATCCCTTTCCTGTCTGCCTCAACCCTGGAACCTTTATATTTGTAATCTCAAGGAGAAGATTTTGGAAATCTACTGAGTTAATTCCAATCTAGCCCTTCCTGTGCAACCTAAGATGCATACAGTTATGGGGAGCCCAGGGGTCCTAAGTCTAGCCAAGATGGTGATTAACTGGAACGAAGGCCACACCCAGAGCCCAGCCCTAGTTTTATCAGTTCTCCACAAGGGGAGTGGTTCAGGGATGAATGCCCATGAGAGTGGTGGGAAATAAGGTGACTCCTGTGACTGGGCAGAAATGCAGAGAAAGTAGTCTTCAATATACAACTTAGGTAGTAACTTGGGGTCAGTGCTTCAGTTCTGATGTACAATCCTTTTTGCCCTGGGAAGTCTTAGCCTCTTTCTCAAGCCTCAATCCCAGCTGACAGAGTGGAGCAGGAACTCTCCATCTACCCAGCTCAATCACATACTTGGGGGAGGCTCTGGGTGGGGAAACAGCCACTAATCTACTGTGTGCTTGCTTCAGAGATTACACATCAGCTCCTCAGCCAGCCCAATTTCCATTGCTTAAAACCAATTGAAGGCACAAAGAAATAGCCTAGCCAGCTGTGTACATATCAATACATGGAGATAAGGCCAAGTTTATCCAAAATGGAAGCATTTCCTTTCAAGGAGACTTGTCTGGGTGGTTCCCACAAGTGATAATACAGAGGGGCTGCATGAGTACTTTACGCTGAGGCTGGACCCAGGGCTCCCTCCCTCCCAGGAGGCCACCTGTAAGCAGGGACTGGAAGGAGGAGGGAAAGAGTGAGCACGGGGAGGACAGGAGTGAGGAGTGCGACAGAGCAGAGCTGGAGCAGAGGCTCAAGGCCCAGGTGGACAGGAAGGGAGCCCAGCAGCTGTGGGGCATGGGCAGGAGGGAGAGTAGCAGAGAAACCTGGGAGGCAAATCCACAGAGGCTCTGTGAGGCCAAGGGGAGAGCTGTCAGGGGGAGGAGCTGGGCGTCTTCTTGTCCTGAGAGACTGGTGGGTGCACAGGAAGTGGGGCAGGGCTGGGATCTGATTGTGTATTTCCCTTTTCTCTCATTCAGCCTGACTTTATTAGTCACTTGCTTACTGACCCATATCTCCCCTGATCCTTTATTAGTCACTTGCTTACTGACCCATATCTTTCCTGATTGCAGTATCCTAGATTCTTTATATCTTCCAGGTACTGAATCATGTTTTGTTAGTCCCAGTATATTCGTAATAACTCTTACAATTGAATTAACAGTTTCCTAAAGTCCTTTTCATTAATGAAGTGGATTTTTGCTTAGATTTAGACTATAATAAAATTTGTTACAAAATATTTTGCTTCCCAAATAGAAAGCACATGATTTAATTCTGTGTGAGCCATTTGAGGCTTTGTTCTCCCTTAATTGGTTAAGTTGGGATCAATAGTGTTTCTTTCAAGTACACAAAGGCAGAGACAAACAGGGCAGCCAATAACCAGAAATATAGTTATTCTATGTAACAAGAACTCCTTGAGTGCAAGAGTGTGGAGAAAATTTAGCTTTGGGATTCTGAAAGTGAGGATCGAGGTCCTGGTTCAAGCTCTAGTTTTTTTATGGAAGAGGAGAATTTTAAGTGGTTAAGGTCACGTGTTGTTAACTCATTTCATTTCATAAGAGGTGGAAAAGAGCTGGGCAGAGTGGTGCACAGCTGTAATCCCAACACTGTTGAAGGCTGATTCAAGGGTTGCAAGTGTGAGCTCTTCCTGGGTAACTTCAGCAAGACCTTGTCTCAAAGTGAAAAATGAAACATGCCTGGGGATGCAGCTCCATGCCCTGGGTTCCACCAAGTCCAGAGGCTGTTGCAGTGGGGTTCGCACAGAATGTGGGACTTGGCTTTGATGTGTACTGCTGTATCTCCATGAAGCCCCTCATAGCTGCAAAGCCAGAAGTGGAGCAGCCTTTAGAATTTGGGAGGAAATTCCTGAATCTTGACACCAATCAGGGAGTTAATGAAGAACTGGGCAGCTTACTCATGTCTGTGTGGCTTAATAAGTAGTAAAGAACAGGGCTTTTCAGCCTGGAGTGGGAGCATTCTCGTGAGCTTCTGAGTCTCAACTTCCTTTTGGGTGGATCAGTTGAGAGCGGCTGCCTCCAGCATTTAGAAGCAAGTGAGTCTGCTCAGCACAGTAGACAATGCGAGCTGATGCTATGGGCTAATGCCTTAGGTCCTTTTTCAGAGGTCTGCCCTAGCTGTGTTTCTCACCAGTCCAGTTCTTTGCAAGAGACAGAGCCAGTATATTCAGCTCTATTTTATCAGGGAGGAAAGCAAGGCATGGAGGGCTCTGTCACACTGAGGGTCTCAGCTCTGTGGATGTCAGGGCTTGGATCTGAACCCAGTGATTCTTGAGGTGTTGTCTTGCCATAGTGAATGCAGCCCGAGCCACTGCTTCTGGTAACATGAGGAGCTAACAGAGTGCTTCGTGTTCTTGTGGTTTGTCTTACTTTCTGGGAACTTGGCAAGGAGCTGGCTGATGTGTGGCTCCAACCACTGCCACCAGCTCTCTGCCCCTGTACCATGTCTTTGCTCTGGAATTCTGCTCGGCATCACCACCTCTGGTTGCATTGCTGTGTTCCCCCTTTTTTGTTCCTATGTCAGATCTGAGTCAGATCGGAGGCTGCAAACAGGGAAAGAATTGGGAAAGGAACGACTGCTTTGCAGGACAGCTTTCCCTGTCCACTACTGGGAGCTAACACAACTCTGAGGCCCTTGTCTGCTTTTCTCCCAAAGAGCAGGGTCCAGTGATTGACAGTCAGGGTGAAAGGAGAAGCTGCATCCTGAGAATTAAGACCCGTGCAGTGCAGACATCTTTGGGTCACCATGATCCTGCAGCTTCAGGTTGTGGCCTTAGGCCTCCTCCTACTCCAGACAGGTAAGTGAGCAGCGGGCTGCACCTGGGGGCTGTGGTGGAGAAGGAAGACAGATGATCCTGGGCTACATAGAACATTTATGTGCTGCCCAGAGAGTGGAGAACAGGATGAACTCTTACTCCAAAGCATTATTTAACTGCTCTGAATTCCGAGACTGATGGCTAAGAGAGGCAGCTGAAGTGAACAACACGTACTGTGGCCTGTATTGAAATATGAAAGAAGCTGGCAGATGTATATACTCAGCCAATGCATGCAAGGAGAGTAGCATTTTGTTAAGTTCTTTTATGCTTCTTGGTAGTTTTAAACTGAGTCATTTCACTTAAAAAGAATTCCCACTCCCCTCTCTCTTCCTTTTTATCTTGCTCTTGTACTGATAATTGAACCCAGAGCCTTCACACTGAGCTATATTTCATGCTACTTTTAATATTTATTTTGAGGCACAGTCTCACTAAATTGCGCATGTTATGTTTAAACTTGTAATCTTCCTCCCTCAGGCTCTCGAGTGCTGGGATCACACATGTGCACCCATCGCCTGATTAGTATATTTATTTTGTAGTATATAATCTGGTTGCTGACTGAATATTTTCCAAGTCTGTGGTTCCACTTGTGTTAGACTTGCTCAGTTGCTGGGCTGTGATCAGAGGAGATCTCTGGTTAGCTTTTTTGTTTTTGGTTTTTGAAAGATTCAAAAGCCTATAATAAGCTTCAGCTCCTCTTGAAAGCACTAGAAAACTCATTTATAAAAAATGTGATTCCTAAAGTGTTTACCAGATTTATGCTTTTTAGCCAATACTATTTTTTCTTTTCAAATCTTTTTCATTTTGAAGAGAAAAAAAAACTCAATATTTCCAATCACAGTAATTAGGAGGTAACAATGATATATTGTATATTGTTATCTTCAAATCAGTTAGAGTAGAAGATATCTGCATTTAACTGTCAATACTAACACAAACCTTGGTCTTCAGTGGACTCAGAGAAATCAGTAGTATAACTCTTGTCTGTCATATATATATATATATATATATATATATTAGTACTGGAAATTAATCCCAGAACCTTGACACTGACCTATATCACAAGTCAGGTTTGTTTTGTTTTGTTTGCTACCAAGAATCAAACTCAGACCCTTGCACTTGCCAAGCAGGCACTTGTACCACTGAGCTGTATTCCTAGCCCCCTGTCTTTTTTTTGTATTTGATTTTGAATAGGTTCTCCCTAAGCCTATAAATTGCTTAGGCTGGGGTAGAACTTGTGATCCTCCTGCTTCAGTCTCTCAGAGTGCTGGGATTACAGCTGTACCCTAGTATGCCTGGTTAGATTCGATTTTTTTAAAAACATACTTGAGCTGATACAGGGAGTGGATCTGGAAGAGAGAACTGGGACCCTGGGATGGAGGGAGATTTTTTTCACTGTATCCCCGTTGGTGGCATTAGCATGTTTAAAAGCCCTGTGAGTGAGACATGGTAATGCACACCTGCACATCCCCTTGTGGTAATTTCTCTATTAGAAATCTTTCCTCTAGGAAACCTCAGTATGTAACAGTTTTGCAATAGAAATATTTTTGCAGTGCTCTGTATGATGGTAAAAATAGAGAGCAACAATATCATACACTACAGTATACTGCCTTATCTACTCAAACATCCACTGAACAATCATACTTATAAATAACTAGCAGGAAAATGTTTGTAGTATTAAAAGTTTAAAGTGTGAGCTATAAGTGGGCCTGGTGGAGCTCACCTGAATCCCCAGCTACTAAGGGAGACTGAGGCAGGAATAGCTCAAGTTTGAGGCCAGTGCCAGGCAATTTAGTGAGACCCTGTCTTAAAATAATACCTGATGGACAAGTAGCTCAGTAGCAGAGCCCTTCCCTTGCATTCATGAGACTGAGTTCAATATATAGTATCAAAAAGAGAAAATCATGCTATAAATTCCTGTTTATAAAATACATAAAAAAAATAATAAGAACAAATACATTAAGAAGGAAGAGAATGAGGTCTCAGTGTACATTTTTCTTCTCTGTCTCAGGTGCTGTGTTTTCTACCCAAGTGAATGCAGTGCTGGGGCAGTCGGTCACGCTGCCCTGCACCTACTCAGTGTCTGGAGGAGTCCACTTCATGTGCTGGGGCCGCGGGCCCTGTCCCTCTTTCAAATGCTCCAGTACACTTATTACAACAGATGGATACCGAGTCACCTATCAGACAGACAGGCGCTATCAGCTGAAGGGGAGACTTAATCTAGGAGACGTGTCATTGACCATCCAGAATGTAAGCATGGATGACAGCGGCCAGTACTGTTGCCGAATCGAGGTTCCTGGATGGTTCAATGATATCAAAAATACCATGTCACTCCAGGTTATGCCAGGTAAGCTTGTCTTCTTCCCTCTGACCCCCTCACTCAGATTAACTGACACGTGCGTAAGTTTTTCTTTCCTTGAATAGTAAAAGAGGAGGCTCCCATATTCCTGTTTGCCAATGAACACTTGCTGTTTGACAGAACACTTCTGTTTGTGGGGATGAAGTCCTAGACCTCCCTGGATTCCAGGCTGTGGGCCAGAATCAGCAGGTGTCTTTCAGAACAGCTCGTCGGTGAGGCTTAGGGGTCCATGAAGTGACTTTCAGTGTTGCGCAGTGAAATGTGGTGAACAGTGTTATGGAGAGGAATTTGCTTCAACAGTCGCAGCTTTTCTGAGTGTTCAGGCTTAGAAGAAGGGTCCCTTGAATTGTACACACTGTGAATTGTATAGGCACGAGCTCTACCACTTTCCCCGCCCTACCTTGGGTATTTGAAACGTATTATAGCAGAAAAATTCTTTTAAAAGTTAAAATGATCTTATGTATAAGCGTTTCCATTCCAACAACTGCTCATGTCGCTTATAAGAAGTTCATGAAATCCAAACATCTGGGAACGCTACATTCTCCTTTTCATGTGGGCTTCCTAGTTTTCATCAGCATTTTATGAAAGAAATAGGTATTTGAGGATTTTTGGTTTCTGGTTTTCTTTCCAAGATAGATTGAATCTCCTTCTCCTAACAGAAGTAAAACCTAATTTAGGGGCTTTACTAACCTTTGTCTTTTTTTAAAAAATTTATTATGAGGAACATTGTTTTTTGGTCTCTTTGCTTTTAGACTGGTTTTTTACCCTTTGAAAGGCAAATAGACGAAGTCACCCATGATAGAGTAAATTTGTGAAGTCCACGGGCCCACAAGTCTACTCGTTTTATTTAGCTGTCTCTGGGAAGACCATGTCCAAGAGGGAATTTGGAGAAGGCAAATATGGGGGTGCTGCACCGTGCTGTGGAGAAGCACGGGGAGGAGCTCATGGAGAGGAGATAAAGTGACTGTGACTGCGTCTTTCTTGGAGTTGTTAAATTATATTATTGACCTGGATGAGTTTTTAAATAGGATACAAGAAAACTGAGAGACTTTTTAAAAAAATCATAGATAGATTTTCAAGAATTTTATTTATTTATTTATTTTGGTTAGCTGAGTTGCTCAGTTTTCCAGGCTGGGATTGAGAACTTATGTTGGTCCAGCCTTAGCCTTCTAGAGTGCTAGTGTGAGATTTTTTTTCTTTTTGGTACTGGGGACTGAACTCATGGCCTCATGCTTGCCAGGCAGGCACTTACGCCACTGCGCTAAATCCCCAGTCCTGATGTGAGATTTTTTAATGTTCACAAACGTACTGTTTGGTCGAGTCCTACTGACGTTGTAACTGAGCCAATGTGACTGCCTCATCTCTATTAACCCAATTGTTTCCTTAAGTTTAAATATGATTCTAAAATATTGAGATTATTCTCAACTGTCCTAGGGCTTCTCCTCACCAGTCCTTTGTATTCTTTTCCAGTGTTACCTTTGAAATTTCCTCATAAAATAATAATTCCAATTTAAAACATGTAGGAAAATAGCTTATGCTGAGCTAAACATGACAAAATGTTGTGTTTATACATAATGAAGAATTACTCTGTCATAAAAAGGATAAATTCAAGTCATTTGTATGAAAAAGAATGCACCTTGATACCATAATGTTAAGTGAAGTAAATCAGACACACAGGCTTAAGTGTCACAGGGTTTGTCCTACATGAGAAACGCAAGATATAAATAAAATACAAAGTAAAAGATAAGAGGAGAAATAGAGAAAATTATAATCAGCATGGCCAATTGATCTAAAATTATACCTTGATTTTTTATCATTGTCTTATATGTTTTATGTTTTGGTCTGTAATCTGGCTGTTCTGTGTTTATGATGATTAACTTGATAAAAACTCATATAAAAATGAATCTTATGCTGGCTAAAAGAAAAAAATTAAATCAAGAGGGAGGAAAAGGGGAAAAAAAAGAATTGAGATATGTTATATGTCTACCAATTCCGCAAAATAAATGTAATCATTAGGTACTGCAAATATGTACCGATACAATTATTTTTATTTTTAAAAAAGTGTGAGCTGTTGAGGATTTTTCCTCTTTTGCATTTTTTGTCTGTTTACCTATTTATTTAATTTTAAAATACTTTTATTGATACTTTGTTGTTGTTATTACTGGGGATCAAACTCAAATCCTCGCCCTTGCCAAGCAGGCACTTAGGCTGCTGAGCTAAATCCCTGGCCCCCATTGATAGGTTTTATATACAATATTGATAACATTCATCATAAGGAATTTGTATCTGTAAATGATGTATCTTGAATTTTTCCCCATTCCTCTCCCTTCAACCCCTCTCCCTCTCCTTATTGCAAAAGCTTTGTTTCCATTTTCCCCCTTCTTTTCTCATATTTTTTCCTTTTCATTTCTTCCTTTCCCCTTCCGCCTTTCCTAGTTTCCCTTCCCTTTGAACATTTTTTTCCTATTTCCCAACATCCACTATATATTTTGGTCCTTATTAATACCTTTGGTTTTCATACCAGAGAAAACTTGGATATTTAAATTTGTGTGTCTGATTTATTTCACTTAAGAATACAATCTCAGGCTGGCTCCAGATTTAGCCCAGTTGGCTCAAGCGCTTGACTGGTAAGTGGGAGGTCACGAGTTCAATCCCCGGTACCAAAAAAAAAAAAAAGTATATGGTCTCAAAGTGCATCCATTTACCTAGAAATCTGCAAAGTTTGTCCTTCTTTACAGTAGGACAGTACTATATAAAAGAACCTCATCTTCTTTATCCAGTCATTGGTTGATGGACCTTTGGGCTATTTGAAGATTCAGCTACTCCAAACTGCACTACCATAAACATGAGTGTGCATATATAGCTGTAGTATGGTGCTTTTAATTCTTGTGGAAAGATACCAAGAAGGGGACTATCTGGGTCAAATGAAATCCCTTAGTTTCATTTGGAGGAATCTCCATACTGATTTCCATAGTTGCGGAGGAAATATCACAAAGAAGCAACAATTGAGAGCTCATCTAATTCAAAAGCTTTTGCACAGCAAAAGACACCACAGAGTGAAGAGACAGCCCACAGTGTTGGAATATATAAAGAACTCAAAAAGTTAGAGCCCCTAAATTTAAAGATCCAATCCGAAAATAGGCAACTGAAATTCATAGATAATTCTCACATGAAGAAGTAGAAATAGAAAATAAATGTGGGAAAAAATGTTCCAAATCACTAGTTATTCAAGAGATGTAAATTAAAACAACCCTGACATTTCATCTCACACCAGGAAGAGTGGCTGTTATCAAGAGATTAACCAATTATAAATGCTGATGGGACTAAGGAAAAGGAACCCTTCTACATTGTTGGTGGAAGTATAGATTGGTACAGAAACTGTGGGAATCAGTGTGGAGATTCCTCAAAAAACTAAAACTAGAGGCTCCTTTAAAAAAAAAAAAAAAAAAAAAAAAACAGGGTCTCCCTATGTAGTTCAGGCTGGCCTGTACTCACTACATAGCGCAGGCTGGCCTAGAACTCCCAGAGATCCTTCTGTCTCAGCCTTCCAGTGCTGGGATTATAGGCATGTGCAACCATGCCCAACTCATTTTTGTTTCTGTTAAAATGCTCTAATTAAAATTTTTGCATGCTCTCCCTCCTCCATTAGATTCTAGACTTTGGAGGCAGGGGGTATGGATTGGGCTCAAGCTTCTGGTTATACATCATGTTAGGGTTAGCAAATTATACACAACAGCCATAGCAGATTATATAACAGCGTCACAAACTCTCTTTGGAAATAAAGCTCTGTTGGAATACATTTGTACCTATTTATGTGTTGCTAAAGGCTGTTTTCAAATTGATAGTATTGAGGAGATGCTTCGGAAATTATGTTGTAGATTCAAACTCTGAAGCATTTACAGTCGATCTTGTTTTGTTTTGTTTTGTTTTCCTGCATTCGATTTAACCTAGGACAACCTACGGAGTATGTTTTTTAATTTTTTATTTTGAGCCTGGGTCTCACTAAATTGCCCAGGTCCAACTTAAAATTCAGATCCTCATGCTTTAGCCTCCCAGAGTATCACACATATGTGCGGCTACTCCTTTCTGTATTTATAATCCGGCCTTTTACTGAAAAGCTTTGCTGAGCTCTATATGTCACTGGTGCCTTGAACATGACAGGCATCCGTAAGAGTTTTTTATTTCTCCAAGCAGAAACTGACTAGATTCAAAATTGAATTGTATCCCACACAGAAGAGTTTTCAAACCAATTTTTCTCTACTCAAAATACCTATGATGTTATTTTATACTTAATGAAGATTTGAGAAAACTGCTCATAAGTAAAAAATGTGTTTAGGGAAATAAAAGTATTCAGTCATTGATTAATATAAAATTACATACTTGCTTTAAAGGAAATACTAACTTATTCTGAGCCCAATATGTATGATTATACCCCAGAAAAAGGTTGACTTTTTTTTTTGTCTTTTTGAGAGAGTCTTGCTATGCAGTTCTGGGTGGCCTTGGGCTCACTTTGTAGCCTAGGCTGGTCTCACTCACAACAATCTTCCTGCCTCAGCCTCCTGAGTGCTGGGATTACAGGCATGCGCCACCACATCCTAGCCCAGAAAAATGGACCCAAGTTACCACAGATGACGTGCCCCATTGTGGAAAAGGTCATAAGAGCTTTTATAGTCACAGAGTATATGAAAGCCATAAGTCAGTGCATTTACTAATTAGATGGTACCAGTGACATCAGGCGACAGCAAAGTAGAAGAATCTGTTTTGTTTCTTTGTTTTTGTTTTTGTTTTTGAGATAGGGTTTCACTGTGTAACAACTGACCTTGAATTTGTGTTGTAGGCCAGGATTATGGGTTAGACCACCACACCCAGCCTAATCTTTTCTGTAGTTTTCAAAGTGTTACCTTTATCAAGTTCCTAGTTTTTAGGGTGGATGGAGGCCGGATGTTCCCTGAATTTAGCTGTACACTCTGAAATCTTTGGATGATAAGACAGAGAGATGTTAATAAGAAATGGTCAACAAAAAGGGCTAACATCAGGTATGTCAGCACACACCTACAATCTCAGCCGTTTGTGTGGCTGAGACCAGAGGATCCCAAATTTGAGGGAAGCCTGAGCAATTTAGCAAGAATTTGTCATAAATAAAAGAGGGGCTTTGGACCGAGCTCAGTGGTAGAGCGCTTGCCTAGCATGCAGGAGGCCCTGGCTTTTACTTCTCATAGTACCGAACAAAAGCTGTGTGTGTGTGTGTGTGTGTGTGTGTGTGTGTGTGTGTGTGTATGTGTGTGCACATGTGTAGCAAAAGTAGACCAGATACCTCAATCTGTAGCATTCCATCCCTATACAATTACAGTGTTCTAGTCAGCCAAGGTCAGTCTGCAGGCTCTTTAATACTCATGTGGCTTCTTCAGAGACTGCTGGCACATGCTTGATCTGTTCCTTTCCTGCCTCTGCTTTTGTGCCAGGCACTCTCTGTTCAGGCTTAATTCCAGTCTTGATCTTCTATGCAACTCCCAGAACTTCATCAAGCTGTGTGGTTTCCTACACATTTCTGATGGTGTCAATTTGTAAAATATAGATTATCTTCAATCCAAAAATCCAAAATCTGCCATATTCCAAAATTTGAATCTTTCAAATGGTGACATGACAGCAGAAGTAGCTCATTTCATACTATGAAAACTGTTATGTGCAGGCAATAATGAAAAGTACAGTGTTATATGAGCTTACCTTTATGTTATGTGTGAAGTATATGTGAAACATGAATGAATTTCATGTGTAGGCTTGAGTTGCATTTCCTAAATATCTCATTATGTAAATGGAAATATTGCAAGCATTTTGGAGAAGGAGTACTCAAGGTATAAATGTTTACTGAGCAGAAATCTTTCAAGATCTTTCCTGCCCTCTAAACAATGCTTAAATCTTACCTGCTGATCCTGCATGTGACCCAGGAGTGAGCCTTTAGTTGAGATACAGTCTATGGGTGTCTTAGGCCTGACAGAAATGAACACTGTTTGGTAACTGTGTTGGTCTCCGAGACACTGTTCAAGTCAGTCACTTGCCACTGAGGGGACAAAGCACAAGACACATACTTTTAACACCTTCTCTCTGACTGGTCTCCAGAAAAAGACTTCATGCAAATGACATCTGTGCTATCATCTCCCACATATGTAGCATTTAATGAGCTTCTTCAACCATCTCCAGTGTTTCTTCCAAGCTCCGCCACCAGAGTTTCTAGCTGGGCCTTGTCCAAGGCCACATTCAGGAGAGATAGCTCTGCCCAGAGACAGTCTGTCGTCCATATGCTCAGCTGCAGTTGCAGCAGCAGGCTCTTGTTTCCTAGCTCATTTCTTACCGCTCCATTAATTCTTGCTTCCATGTTGATGTCTACCTGCAGCTAACACCACAAAAATTCCAGCAACGCCTCATTTCTCTACTGCTCCTCCAACACCAGCATGGATACAGAGCCACAAAACAGGTAAGATGTGAACTGCAGCCAGATTCGAGGCTGTCGACCCTGCAGGATGTTGTGTGACTTCAAACCCCTACCCCCGACTGGTCTTCTAAAAGAGACTTAAGTGCCAGTATGAGGTATAGGATTTTATTTCCCAAATATTCAATTGTGAGTGGAGTTGCTTCACTCCACCCCAACGTATCTCCAAAGTCCTTCACTCTCAGAGCCTCTAAGTGGCCATTGGCAAAAGAAAAGTCCAGGAGAGAGAGCCCCGTCCCTGAGGCCGTCTGTCATTGGTGTGCTCAGGCTGCAGTTCCAGCAGGAGGCTCTTGTTTTTTGCTGTTCCATTAATTCTTGCCTTCATATTGATATCTAACTGCAGCCAAGACCACAAGAATCCCAACACCTCGTATCTCTACTGCTCCTCCAACACCAGCCCACACAGAGAGCCATAGAACAGGTAAGATATGAATTGCAGACCCGAAGGGAGGCTGAAGAGCATACAGATCATTGTGTGTCTTCAAACCCCTACCCTCTGATCAGTCTTGTGAAAGAGACTTAAATACAAGTATGAGGTATAAGTTTTTATTTCCTGAATATTTAACTGTGAGTGGAGCTGCTCCACTCCATCCCTATTGTTTTTCCAAAGCCCTCTCCTCTCAGAGCTTCTAGCTGGTCATTGGCAAAGTACAAATCCAGGTGAGAGAGCCCTGCCAAGAGACAGTGTGTCATTGGTGTGCTTGGCTATAGTTGCAACACGAGACTCTTGTTTCCTTTTTCTCTATTACTTCTTGCTTTCATGTTGATGTCTATTTCCAGCTGTAACCACAAGAGCTCCAGCAACGCTTCATGTCTCTGTTGCTCCTCCAACACCAATCCCAACACCAACACAGAGCCACAAAGCAGGTAAAATGTGAATTGCAGCCTGGATGGGAGGCTATAGACCACACAGGGAGGGCATCCTGTGACTCTAAACAATCTTCCTCTGTCTGGACTTCAGAAGGGACTTTAGCACAAATGAGATAAGTATTTTCACCTCGCAGGTACTTACTTTCCAGTGCAGATACTCTATCCCCAGTATTTATCCACAGCCCTTCCCTCTCAGAGCTTCTTGATATCCATTGGCAAAGGACAAGTTCAAGAGAGACAGCTCTGCCTAGAGAAAGTCAATCATCAGTGTGCTCAGTTACACTTGGAGCAGGGGCCTCTTGTTTTTTGTTGCTTGATTATTCTCTACTTTCTTGTTGGTGTCCAGCTCCAGCCAAGATCCATATCACTTCAGGTCTCTACACCGCCTCCAACATCTACACCGCCTCCAACATCTGTACCTACCTGGAGTCACAAAACACATAAAATATGAATTAGAGCTCAGATGGAAACTGTAGAACATACTAGGCATTGAGTCACTGCAAACAACTTACCTCCAACTGATCTAAAAGGGACTTCAATGCAAATATGAGATATGCATTTTTATCTCCTGAATACTTAATGGTCAATGGAGCTGCTCCACTTTGCTTGTCGCATGTCTCCAAGGCTCTGTCCTAGCAGTGTGTCTGTCTGAACATTTGTGAAGAGCAAGTCCAGGTAAAATAGCCTGGTCTAGAGACAATCTGTCATTAATGGGCTCAGCTACTGTTCCTGGAGGGGGCTCTTTTTTCTTGTCACTCCACTAATCTCTTTCTGCTGATTTCTAATTCCAGCCAGGACCACAAGTGTTTCAATACCACCCTCTGTCTCCACGCCTGCTCCTCCAACACCAGCTCACACACTGAGCAACAAAACAGGTAACCTGTGAATTGGAGCCAACAAGCCTTCCCAAGGGAGGCTGGAGACCGTACAGGGTACTGTGTCAAGAAGTACCACGTGTGAAGCTTCTGACTTGGGCTGAACACATGGCTTCACAATTTCTTTGTCTGCCCCCCTTCTCAAATGATTTTCACCTTTCATAAGTGCAAGCATTTGAAGAGGCAGGGCATGAATTGTTTTTTATCAGATTTCCAAAGGGAATCCTTATTAGCAAAAAAGAGTTGGACCACTGAGGTAGGCCACCCTGTGTGGGTCTCACCTGCATGGCTCTATGATGAGAAAATAGGAAATGCCAGGAAGAGCCAGGCTGGGTCTGGCAGGCCTTGCTGAAGTTAGGCTCCCCACATACGGGTGCTGTTTCAGGGCACCAGGCTCTATGCTGCATGCTTCACAGTATTACAGCATTTAACTCTCAGGATAACTATGCCATCACAGCGTGATCCAAATGGAGTTCAGAATGATGGGATATGATACTCAGAGTGCAAAACTTCACTGTAAATCATAAAGATAGAAAGAAGTGGAGCCTGGATCTAATTTTTGTGCAATGAAAGTTCGTCTGTTTTTTTAGCTAATGGATCATGCCTCCTGTCACAAACAGTGAGCCTCTGTGAATGAATGAGTGTGTCCTGTTTTGACTTCCCCACTGACAAGTAGTTGGTAAAACTACTCTTTCTTTTTGGAACAGTCACAGCCTTACAGACTTTGTTTCACTCACCGTGGATCTTAATTTATGTGTCATGTAAATTGTAAAAGATTGTATCTATATTCATGAGAAAAGTAAACAGCAAATTTGAAGACTTCAGGGTTTAGAAAGTGTATGTTTGTGTTGTCAATTCCTGTAGTGTGTTTCATGTTCCAAACTTCCCACAGAAAAGAGTTTAGACATAAAATAAATAGAAAATGACTTACAGGTGAAGCTATCAGTTGTCATCTCCAGGACAAGTTTAGGTCCAAAGCTCCTAATTCCAGGATTAAAAAGATAACTTTTTTTTTTTTTTTGTCTTTTTCGTTTTTATCAGTATCAGGGATCGAACTCACAACCGCACACTTACAAGGAAGGTGCTTATGCCCTGAGCTAAATCCCCAGCCCTCAATAACTTTTTTTTTGTACCAGGAATTAACCATCAAATTGCACTTTCAAGGCAGGTCCTGTGCCACTGAGCTATAGCCCTTTCTCCGAAAAGAGAACTTTCAGTGGAGATTCTCAAAGCTCCTGCAACCCTTTGATCCCTTGAGGTAGCTCTGGATTCTAAGCAGCAAAACAAATATCACAAACTCTTAGCTGGAAAAGTGGGATCAGATATGCTGATTTCCCATGACTCCCCCTGAGCCATGTGCATATTTAACTAGGAGGGATCCAGAAGAATTGGCCGATGAGCTGAGTTTGGAAGATGGGGCTTGAATTATGACTGAGATTTTAAAGCCATAAAAATTTGTGAGAAAAACAGCTTTGCAGGGGTAGGGATATAGCTCAGTGGCACAAGTGCCTGCCTGGCAAGTGCAAAGTCATAAATTCAATCCCCAGCATGAAAAAAACAAACAAACAAAACCCTCCAGCTTTGTTCCAAGTGGTTGAGCACGCTGAAGAATCTATGAGACTTTCTCAATATTGATTTAGATTCCTAAACTTGATTTGTGTCTGCTAAATTAGACAGATTCCTGGTCTTTGTTTGGAGAGCATGGTTTAGTTATTGACTTCACTGAAAGCGTGGACATACACAGAAGTTCTGGTCTGTGTGCCTGTATGACCTTGGGGTATTGTGAGTTGGTTTTCTGGCATGATCCATTAGCTAAAAAAGAAAAAACAGGGTTGGTTGCTGTTGTTTGTTTATTTTTCTTTTGGTGTTCTTTGAGACAGGATCTTGCTAGTACACTCAGTCCAGATTTGCACTGATTATATAGCCTAGGCTGATCTTGAATTTATGGCAATTTTCCTGCCTCGGTTTCCCAAATATTAGGATTACAGGCGTGTGCCATCACAGCTGTCTTATTCTTATCATGATAGTTCTTATCATGATAGTATCTTATCATGATAGTTTCCTGAAGAATGTGAGTTTAGAATTGAAATTTACAGTACAAGGAAGAGGTGAGCACTCCAGCCTGTCTAATGCAGGACACTTACCTTCCACCTGCCTCTGTCTAGGCTCATGCTAGCTGCCTAATGAGTCATGGAGTGCTCGCTTCTGCCGCACATACACAAAATAGTCATGGGACCACTACAAGTACAATTGTAAGAGAGAGTAGGTTGCCACAGAGCAAGAAGTTAAGCTCAAGAGGACTTTTGTTCAGAGCTAAATCAGGTAAAGCCTGACCATCTGACTCTTTTATGTTGTCTTGGTTTTAGTTCCTAAAGAAAGACAACCAAGTCCTCTTACAGGTTTGAGTGTTAGAGAAAACAAGAAAACCATTCAGAACACAAAAATGGGTGATATTGAAATGCAAAGAGATCTAGACTACAGTGGAGAGGGAAAACAAAGACTGGAGAGGAGCAGTTAGGAGAGGCCCATTGAGGAATTCTTACCCTGCCACCATGAATTTGACCCACAATTTTGTGGTATTCTGGGAGACAGAAATCATGTGAAGACCTCATTAACACAAGTGACTGACTCTGAAGACACAGCCCGCTATGGGATAAGATTTCAGGAAAGGAAAGTAATATATCTCTATGTTAAAGAATTCTCGGTGGAATCTTTTTGATGAGAAATACATGATGAGTCAGGAAATTACCCTTAAAACAAAAATGCAAGGCATCAGATGCAGAAAGAGCTGAGACCAGGGTCTATCAGGAAGCCTGCTTTGAGGGCTGCAAATCATTACTTCAGCTGAAATACTGAGCAATATTGTCCCCTTGAGGAGACATCAAGACAGCAGACAGTGTATGTGTTCTGAATTGGTCACTAAATCTTTTTCCCTTGAGAGAGGTGAACAACACAGAACTTACATATACTTGGGAAATCCAGAGATACATTACCAGTGGGCTAGGATGGATTTGTAGAAACTCCAAGGTCCAACTGTAGGCTTTGTACATTTAGAGGGAGCACAGAGGTCTATTGGGGTTCAGAAAGGAGTAATTTTATAAAAAGACTCTATAATATTATATAGATCATATTTCCCATAGGATAATGAAATAAGTAGATAATAATTCAGTGTCTAGAGAACATTTCTAAAATAAATTTCTGAGAAGAATTTAAAGGGCCAAAAGTGAGCAGGTGGATACCATACCCTGTGAGAAGGCTGGTTGAAGGCACTGTAGTGATGGTGACTTACAATTTAGTATTTATTTATTTACATGGTTTTTGAGACAAACTGTCACTGTGTAGTTCAAACTAGTCTTGAATGCTGGTCTTTAACTCACTATGTAGTCCAAGCTGGCTTCCAACTCACAGTGATCCTCTTCCTTCAGCCTCATGAGTGATGTGACTTCAACACATGCTACCATGGCAGGCTTATGTTTCACTTTTGTTGGAGTTGAACATTTCTCTATACAAATGGAACATAATTCTGCCATTGTTTTCATTTCCAGAAACTACTCCACCTTTTCCAACTCAAACAGTAGTAAAGCAGATTACAACCCCACAGGAAGCAAAGACTCAGCCATTCACCTCCACCCTGGATTCATGGCCAACAGGTAACTGCTTTCTCAGTCCTGACCCCTGGGAGTGTGCATGTAGATCTTGGTAGCTATTGACTCAACTGAGAATACAAATTCTGGAGTAAAATGAATCTGACTTGAGTTTTGATTCTGGTCACTCAAGTCAACAATACAACTTGTACCAGTATCTATCCTCTTGAAATTGATATCATCATTTGTAAAATAAATGTAATAATACACACTGTTCTGATAGAGTGGCCGTGAAGGTTCAATGAGAAGAGGGGCTGAGAGCAGTTACAATCCAGTCCATTAACCAAAACAGCCAGAATCCGTAGGAGTACAACTGCAAGCTTGTGTACCTTGAGAACATCTATGTATGTATTACTCTACTTTTTAAAAATCAAATCAACCAGTCTTGGCACCAAGCTTGTTGCTAAGGTTAACCTCTTGGGTTAAACCTCCAAGTCCAGATCCTCAGTGGAGCCAGAAGGCTTCCCTGCTTTCAAGCTTGTATTTACATGGGCATTGTGAGTTGTTGCTGTGGACAGTATTTATGTCACCCCTCAATTTCTTATGTTGATGCCTAATTCCCAGTGCAAGCGTGTTAAGAGGTGGGACATCTGGGGTTGTTAGTTTCTTTATAATGGAGAGGAGAGAGAACTTGTTTGCCCTTTCTTCCCCATGGGGATCCACTGAAGGTGTCATCTAGAATGAAGAAAACCCTCACTAGGAACCCACTCAGCCTGTGTGTGGATCTTGGCTTTGCCAGCCTTTAGAATGGAGACATATGCATTTCTTTTTACCAGTGACCCAGTCCAAGGTATCTTGTTGCAACTTTCTGAGCTGACTAAGACAGACACACCAGCATCAAAGAGGCCACACTGAGATGAGGCTTCTGTAAACACAGTGCCCCTCTGGCCTCCGATTCTGGGCAGGTCCCACCATTTGGGGATGT